TTAGTTGTAAATTGTTTGTCTTCCTTTGTATCCCACCCTTGTATGTCATCAAGTTAATATAATATTTCAGATGCAAAAAAAAAGAAAAATTTGATTACAGCCAACTCTATTAATTATAATCATGCCACAATTTAATGAGAAACACAAAATCCTTGTGAACCAAACACACAAACCAATGATAACAACTTCTACCTACTGTATATATATACATGTAGATATGTCAACCCAAACCATTTTTATGTAAAGGTTTTTATTTTCTCTCTTTACCAACCATATTCGTGCCTTACAAAGTTTTTTTTTTTAAATACAAATTAAACAGACTGATCTATCCAAAATTACTGAGGTTTAATTATAAACCTATATTAAGAAATCAAGCTGGTGATTCCAGCTTTGATTGAATCTGATCGAAAATCAAAACTTTTTAAGGTATGATTTTAAGTTTTTAACAATCAAATATGCACATACAATCTAAATCTAATTTCGAGCTTCTGATTTATTTATTTTTTTGTTAGAAACATTTTTATTTAATTTTGTATAAATTGTTTCTGCTTTGGCTTTTCCCCAAAAAATAAATGGCAAATTTATTGATGATATTACTCTTTCTCTCTGTGGGCACGTAGCCCAAGAACTATGAAACGAGCTCCGATAAAGATGGGAGAGAGATGAGGAAGATGGAGAATCAAACTCAGAGACAACAAAAAAGAACTTCATTTTCCTCCAAAATCTTCTCTTTTTGGATTCTCTCCCTCCGGAAAATCCCGCCGTTTCTTAACATTTTCCTCTCTGTTTTTTTTCCCGGGAAACAGAAGGAAAATTTTCATTTTTTTCTCTTTTTTTTTCCCCGGAAGGAGAGATCTTTGTGAATACAGTAGCTTCGTATCGAGGTTAAACAAATTATCTATTTGTTCTTGAGTTCTTTTTTTTTCTTGAAAATATTTACCTTTCTTTGGGCTATCTTTGAGAATCATCACTTTATCTTCTTTTCTTGCATTTGTTTAACGGAAATGTTGTTTTCTGGGGATTGTATGGCTCATTGTTGTGATTAATCGATGTACTTTTGTGGAGAACGAAACGAAAGTTCTTGTTTTTATTAGATTCAAAAGCTAGGGTTTTGGGGAAACGTACTGTAATCTCTCTGTATCTTAGTATTTTGAGATTGGGGTTTTTGGTTAAGTAATGGATTCTGAAACGAGAGATATGGTGAAATGCTGTGATTTTGGTTGTGATTATTCTCTTGGGGCATGTTCTTCAGATTCTTGGAATAGAACGGTGAAAAGAAAGTTTAACGAAGGGAACAACAACATGGTGTTGTTAAGAGGCTCTTCTGATTCATCTTCTTCGAATGCAAAGGTACTAGTTGAGAATGAATGTGCTGCTTTGCTTGAGGCTCTTTCTAAGCAAAGAGAAACAGTGAAAGATCTTCACTTGGAGCTTCAAGAAGAGAGAAACGCGGCTGCATCAGCTGCGAATGAGACTATGTCGATGATACTGAGGTTGCAGAGAGAAAAAGCTGAGATACAGATGGAAGCTCGGCAATTCAAAGCGTTTGCTCAAGAGAAAATGTCGCATGACCATGAAAGGCTTTCGGCTCTGGAGGAGTTGTTGTATGAGAAAGAGCAAGCTATTGAGGCCTTGACTTACGAGGTCGAAGCTTATAAGGATAGATTGTTGAGCTATGGGTTAACTGAAGCAGAGATGAATGATCAGATACTTGGTTTTGGCAGAGACTCTAGCACGGTCGGTATTGATGTTTACCCGTGCGATTATACTACTTTGAATTGTAGTGTGGATGAGAACCCGAGCGGACCAGATGGTAATGTTGAGGTTGTTGAAAAGGTGATAGTTGGTCAATCTCCAAGATGGCCGTATTATGATCCAAATTCGCCTCTAGGAACCGCAAAAGAAATAAAGGGGACTGTTTTCTCAGACTCTCCTAGTAGCGACAGAGTTTATACTATCGACTCAATTCATGTGGGAGTTTCTGAACTTAAGATTGACGATGAGCCTAGTATGATGAGTAAAGGAAAATTGAATGGTGATCATTGGAATTCTCCGAGATACCAAGAACCAGTCATAACTACGCAAGGAGTTAACGAGCCAGATATCAAGAAGCTTTACACAAGGCTTCAAGCACTTGAGGCAGACAGGGAATCACTGAGACAGATCATTGTATCGATGCGGACAGACAAAGCTCAGTTGGTGTTGCTGAAAGAAATTGCACAACATTTATCAAAGGAAACTGTAACAACAAACAGGCAAAACACGGTTAGCAAAATGCAATCTTTTAAAGCATTCTCTTTAGTAACGGTCTTCAAGGTAAACAATCATAATCTCTCCTATCTAACTCTCACATCTTGCACATTGCTTTCTGAAACTATGCGTAAGTCTTAATTTTGCTCTCCCTGGATTCTTGTGTTTCAGTGGATTGTCTCTTTCATTTCTTGGAAAAGGAAAGCCAAGCGAAACAAGTAAGTAAATTGACGAGTAAAAAGACTTGTTTTTGGTTCCTTAGTATTACTGGTTTCTGATGAATTCAGTTATAAATTGCAATGCAGGTATGTCTACGATTTATCAGCAAATAATATGGGAACGCTTATGATTCTCGGCGAGGGATCTCGAACTCGAAGATGGGAATGTTTAACAAGTTCACATGTCTAAATATCCATTTTTCTCTCTTAGTAGTTAGTGCAAAATGAATGTATATTTCTCTTTATTGCAAGACATCCATTCAAACATGTACAGATGGTTCAGAATCTGGTTGAATATATCGATTCGATGTTATGTTTTCCTCTCTTGTTTTGGCTTTTACAAATCCTTAGGGCAAAGATCATAACAAGGTTTTGAGTCTATGATGCATAAATAAAATCAGGAATCAAACCAATGTATTCTTATCTATTGCCATCAAATGTGTTTCTGGATATATTTCCAGCCATATTGCAAAATAAAGATTACCATTGGGTTGATAATTTTGTTTTTGGGGTCATACATATAATGATGAAAACCTGGAAACAAAAGAGGATTCAGTGTAAATACAGATCACAACGGAGACAGCGAAACAGTGTAAGACTTGTTGCAGTACTTCAAGCTTTTCAGGTGGCCAAATCGAAGCTGAGGACAGATTACTGCTCCGGGAATGCCAGAAGCATCATTGTTTGTTTCTCCTGTGCCTTCTATGATTCCAGACTCAGGACCGGTTTTCTCGGGGACTCGTGGTAGACCAATGTTTAAGCTAGCCGAGTTTGGCTCGGTCACAAAGCTGAATTCGACTCACAGAATGTTAACATTTCCTAACAAGACTTCAGTTTCTGATTCAGAAGAGAAGAGAAGAGATTGTGCATCAACGAACCTGGCTTCAAAGTTTTGACCATTAGCACCCACATTTGCACAAATATTGCTAATAATCCACGGTGGAAGATACTCTCCCTTAATCTCAACGATGAAGCGACTTGTATGTTCTGTTTGTACCATCTCCGCGAACTTGATCTGGAGATCAAAGAACAAGTATTCTCAAAATATCAAGAGAATTCATAGATTACAAACAAAGCGCAAATGTAAGAGAATATACCTCAGGAGAAGACACTGCAGCATTCTGAAATGGTACAGGTGAATATAATACAGGAACGTCCGCAGTGGGAAGAAATCCCAAAGAAGACCTACGCATGATTGAGTTGCAATGGGTATATTATACATCATAATTTGTTAACAGGATTAGATGTCCCCGATATGTAATTTCTTTTCCAAAAAATGCTCATACGCACCTATAATTTAGCAGAAGATCATATAATCCATGTACACTCTCATTTCCATCAAAAGCCAAGAAAGATTCTGGAGTATTATCTATGTTTGAGACGGAACGCAAACAACGAGTCTGCATCTATTGTCAGGAGTCAGAAAAATACGTCAATACTCTCCCCTACAATCGCAGGTGCTTCACATTGTTCATAACAGTGGAATATTCACCTAGATAGAAATATAGTTCCTAAACAGCTAACTGAAAGGTGCACAAACCTGGCCAAGGTTATGATTCTGTATCTCTGAGAGTTCAGCAAGATCTTCAACAGTGGTTTCATCCATTTTAGTTTTGCAAAAAGGCATAGTGTAGCAAATGTCCTGTTAAAAACATATTCAGATCATATTACTAAAGTAACTGATGACCGCACAAGGTTTGCATAACAGATAAGAAAAGACAATGGATAATCAAATAGTTCTCCCTTGTTGTGTCAATTATTGCTTAAGCATACTATATTTTACCCTCGACGTAAGAACCTAAAATGTTTTAAGGACTTCCAAAGTTACAGGAAAAACACAGCAGTACCAAATTGTGGCTAAAACCAAATTCTTTGTAACCGACTGATTTGGAATAAAATTGTTCAGCTAAGCATTGGTGACCTCAGAGCAGTGGAAGAACATCCCGCAACATGTTTTCAAGTTCTATCAAATGCTGCAAACTACAATACGCTAAAGGCTAGCCTCACTGACCAAAAAATGTATGTGGCTTCAAAAAATTTGAGAAAAACGAAGCAAAGATATGTAGATGAGAATTCAATTTCTAATAAAAGCAGTACCCTGACTCTAGTTATTGTCCAATTTTTGGCAAAACTTTACTCAAATTTCATAATGTTCTAACATAGAAGCAGTCAATCAAGGAACTTGTTCAGATACCAAAACTTCAACAAAAAACACTTAACAGATAAGGATGCTGCACAGCCTAGTTTGAAAGCCTCAATGAAAGGAGTACACAAATAATTTGCATAAAACTAGATAAAGCAAAAGGCTTAACAATACCCAGGGAGCATATCTTACAAGGTCTTTAAGCGTGGCTCTCAATCTTCTAGTTGACTGAGTGACATAGGCATTGCATGAGCGTTTGACACCCCCAGACTCACAGCTTCCAGTGAACATTACCACAAACTGTGAGGTACAAACTACGATCCAAATAAAGTACACTTAAATTTAGTTTCATTTCAAGAATACAGTATAATCATAAGAGAGATAGAACATGAGATAGAAGCTGTGCATGAAAGTTAACATTTTAATAACACTAAAGGTGTGTGACTTTGATGCATCTTTGCCAAGACAGAAAAGTAACAGCAAGGTGTATGCCGAGTTTTTCTAAATGGAAAAAGCAAGTGGGAAACAAAATATAGAAGGTTCTCTCTCTCTGCAGAAATAATTTCCACCTACATGCATCTGTATGAAATATATGTAAGTACTACAGGTTTCCAGTGCCATTGACCTTATCTTCCTACATTAAACTAGTGTTATACCCGCAAAAAATCACATCCAAATCAGGCAGATATACAAGGGGATTACCATAAAATATTCTGCAGAGATTCTTCCGAAACATAAAATATAGACTTCGAAAAGCATCTTCCCATGCCAATTGTCGCTTTTGTAGGAAATCAACTTCACCTAAAACAGCAAAATGAAGATCTCTTTATTAAATTTAGAAGGAAGATGACTGATAAGAAGGCATAGCTCTTGAGCTCTAACTAACAAACCTCTGTCTGTTCCAGATGCCATCAGGGCGGAAATGACAAAAGGTGGCAAGGTGGACTGGGGATAAACCCATGAGTGTAGTGATATGGAATTTAACACCTGGGAAACCACAGATGATCCAGAACCACTACTGTTATCTTGATTTACCACATTACACGACAGCGACTTTAGCTGTGGCATACCATTGTAGGTGCTACCCATGATTGACCTATGTAACCTAGAACAACATTAGAATGGAAAATAACAGACTGAATTAAACTTCAGAGGCAAAATAAAAAAAAACTATTCCAACATGATTTAATACGAAAATAAATGGAGTACTGCTGCTCTGTCTGATAACAAAACAAAATTTCATTTAAAATCATCAATAAGTGATATATAGCTAATATAAGATGTCAAGGAGGAATTTCTCAAATTCAACTAAAAGCTATGTTCGGAATAAAAGAATCAACCAATCTATTATTCTGTTCTTACTGCATACTGTACAGAAATATCAGAAGTAGCTCAACTCACCAATTTATTGGAGAAAAGGAAACAAGTCGAGCATAAGTCTTCATGGAAAGGTCCAGAGGAATATTTTGCCCAGCAACATGGAACTCGGACATGAAATTTCCAGTTAATGAGGCAGTATCAGACTTCCCAGTAGTGTCACCAGGATGAACCGGCAATGGTACAAAATTGGCAAGTCCTTTCAGTGCTTTGTTCTGTTGGAATACAACATCAGGTTTACCAAGACCATATATATAGCCATCTGAATTATCAAACACTACCAAGTGAAGCATACCATATCAATAGCTGGCAAGGAGGATAATTCCTCACCCCTGGTTGAAAGTTCAGTGACACTGCGAAATACGATCGGGTTACATCCCTCAGTTGTTCCACGAGCTTCAGCCTTAATATCATCAGAAACTTCAGTAGAAGCATTATTCTCCTCACTGCAAAAACATTAATGCATTAATATGAGTTAAACCAAAGAGGGTCAGCTTACTCCACACAGAAACTGCCTAAGGTATTTTACCGAAGTAGTTGTAGTCTTTTGTTGGCAGCAACATTTGAGAGTAAAGAGACATTGATCAAGCTGCTGGATTGCTCTTTTGCACCATTTTCCTGTGGTAAAGGCAAACAAAAAGATGCATACAAAACTATAACGTCTTTTACATTTTACACAAGGTTTTGAAAAAAAATTAAAGGAATCAAGACTTGGAATCTGAGAAGTTGTTAACCTGAGGATTTTCTTTGCCAGAGAACATCAAAGACCGAGCCTTTTTGGCAGGATATAGTTCATCCATACGTATGTATTTTGGATTCTTCAAATGTTCTTGTTTCTTGATCCCATTTTCCCTCTCCATACTACTGCCAAGATAATCTAATAAGTAAGATATACATAAGAAACTTGACGGCGTGATGATTTATACCTTTTGCAAGGGCGCAACGCATCAAAAGATTCTTTAGCTTGGTCCACAAAACTAGTCCGCTTCAATTGTTCTTCCTGTTTTATGAGAAATGGTATTAGAATAAACAATCTTTAAAGATAAACACTGCAGAATGAAGAGAGGGAAGCAAAACTTACTCGCAGTTCTAAAGGTGTCTTCCTCTTAGCTTTTGACGCAGCTTTGGACACTCCATTCATCTGAAGAGAACTACCAAAGGCACCAGGAGCAACAACTTTCGCCATTTCTCAAAAGATACTATATTCGCTTTTGTATCCTCCAAATTACCTACCTTCACAAAACTGTATCAGTAAATCTGAGGGCACAATCTGATATTTCTAATTCCCAGAAAGAACTTTTTCATCATTACAAATCTAATCCGGCTCAAAATTAGTAAAGGGTTATTTATCATCACAACCCT